TGGTTCCATTGGGTCGCTCGACTCCGTGCTAGAGGAGTCTGTCCGATCTTCCTGTACGAAAGCGTAATTGTTCAACCATGGGGCAAAGGTTTCAATCCGATAAAGGCAACGCCGGCGATATCATGTTCTATTTCGATCTCTCGAGAGCGCCCGAAACGCCTGAATCCAGGTCGAAGGCTAATTTTCGAAGGCTAACTCCTGAGGTGAAGCCGCCGAACGGTCGTGGGCTCCCACGAACGTGTGATCTGCGCCGGGCGAACACTCGCGATTTCTGATCGTAGGTCGCAGAAATTCCCTGAAATAATCCGAGTCGGAGCTCATCACTCATCAGAGAGAAAAAAAATCCCTCTCGGTTCCCTCGATCGCAACGTTTTGAGAGGACTTCCCCCGCTCGAGCCGTGAATCAGAATCAACCGACTTTGGTCTCGATTCTCGACCCCGCATATATTCGAATCCTCCCAAGACGCGTCATCAAAGGAATTAGAGTGAAATGTGCTTCCCACGGGTCGAGACGCGGGGGTCTAGGTCCGGGATCCCCCAGGATGCCTGGAAGTGATTCCCGGCGACTAGCGATCGGAAGCGATTTAAGGAAGAGAGATAGACCGCTTTCACACATGTAGATTGCCATGAACGAGGACGGCGGAGCGCGGATCGGTAGTCGACATCGATTCGTGATCAGCTGAGCCCATTTTGTGATCGAGACACGTTTGCGAAAGACTACCGTGAGCTCATCACAGCAGGATTCGGTGCATCAAAGACGGCTCAGGATTACAGTTGCTCCGTTCACGTCAAATTAATGCAACGCCTTGAAAGAGCTCTTTGTTTCTGGAAGATTAGAATTTCAAATTATCATAAGGACTAATTTCGAACCGGCCACATGGGCGAAGCCTCCAGCGCCCAGACGTGTGCGTCCACAGCTATTCAAAGGGCTCCTGGACTTGCTCTTGGGCTTTTGCGAACTTGTAAGATTAACAAACTCAAGTTGTTCAAGCGAGCGAGGCGAAGAACGCTCTTGGCTACGGGCTATAAATACAACGACGAGGAGGCGATTCATTTTCGCCTTGTCCTTCGTGGACCATGTCGAGCCAGCTCGGAACGCGTTCTATGTGTAGAGCAATGAACGAAAGCGAAGAGAAAGAAAATATGGAAAATCAGAGCGCAGACGAGCCCCGCGCAGGGAAATCGGGGCCTCGAGTCCTTCGAGTTCCTCCCCGTCGTTGGCCGCTCCCATTCATGGATGATCCATGTGATTTCGTGGCAGCAGACGCATGATTGAGGGGAGAAATGTCGCCTTGGGTTGAGGATCAAGCTTACTGTGAGCCATTCATCCTCCGAGTTGCAAGATCACTTGCGACTGCGAAGAGTTCACTGACGAGTGACGGGCTTCGATCTATTAATTCCTGCGTGGGCGACCGATCCGGCTCTTGTTGCGAGATTATCTCTCCCGTCCTTCCGTTGGAGTAACTCTCTGACGGAGCTCTGCAAGTGAGTGGAATAGCGACGCTCGGCCTGTAGCGACTTGGGACGATTGTTTTAGAGTTTGTCGCATGTATCCTCGAATCGACTTCCCCGTTCTACTCAAGTGGCTTTTTGTGTAGGCCCTCGAGCTCGATTTGCTGCAATAGGCGTTCAGAAAAACACGGGAAACGAAGAATTCGTGAACCGAAGTTGAGTCCTTACCCTAAGAATATCAGGACTGGTCATCGAACTGAGTGACACCGGAGAACCTCAATCTCCGCTCGCAAGTCGGATCAATCCTTGGTATCAGGCGACGGGTTCCCCAGAGGATGATTGACCGCGTTCACCACTCGATCACATCTAGGGTTACAGGAATAGACGATGATCGATCACTTTAAGAATCAGAGCGTCGCTGGCCCGAAGTCGCAACCGTCGAGATCGTCGAAGGAAGTCCGATTCGATGTGAATGCCTTCCGAAAAGGAGATGGTCTCCTTCCTTCCTTTCTTGTGAGGAGCGTTGGGTAGGCTGCGAAATAAGCGGGCCCCGCCAAAACAGCCGGTCTCATTAACCGTCTCGGAAGCGAATCATGTCGGTCGGACCTCAGAAATTCAAAAGTTGTCGCCCTGGAGGGTTGCGGTCCTTCGACCTGGCACAACTTCAATGAGATCTCGGACGAGCTAATCGATCGACAGAACCTCCTTCCCGGGCGAGGCTGACCACGAGAAAAAATTGTTTTATTATATCTTTCACGCTGCCCGAGAAAACCTTCTTGCTACGAAAGGAATATTTGTTTCGGGACGGAGCCTCGAAACAAATTCGAGCAGGAGAGTTCCGTTCGAGTCTCAGAACCTCACATTCCGTGCGGAATCGTGTCGGACTTGATGTTGCCTGTCTTTCCGAGAAATCTCAGCGATGCACCGAGAACCGGTACATCTCCTCCGAATGCTCGACTCAGCTTTAGAGGAGAAAGACATCCGTTTACTTGATGGCCTGGTGTTCACTTGCGCAAAGCACGCTGTGCCATTGTGAAGTTTGCTCTCAGGCTCGCAACGATCTGCGAATACTTTGCCGATCACAAGCATGGCGGAGGAGTCATCGAGCATCGTTCTTGGCAAATTTCCCAGAACAAGGCGAGCTCCGCCACATGCCGTAAATGAGAGCGATTAAGGAGCCAGTCGTATGGTTCGCGTCTTTGGGATCGAGATAGGGGGCCCAACGCGTTTCGTCGGCATCAGGTGAAGAGCTTCGCGCTCATCAGCCGTACATCGAGATCCTCTGTGACCAGCGAAAAGCGGTCGGTTCAAAATGAGGAAGAAAGGGGAGCAACGTCGGGCAAGGCCTAAATAAATCCCGATTCTGGGAAGCGTCACGCTCTCCCGATGGTATTCCTGGGTTCGGCACTCAAGGGGGAGACACAGTTGAAAGCTGTCAAATCGCGGGGTTTCTCCCTGTCTCGCGATTCTGCTTACACCCGTCGTGCTCGTCTGAGGCGGTCTCATGCCAATGCGGCAGAGCGTGAGATAGAGCCCAAGTCTCGAAATTCGCATCGTCCGTATTCCGCGTTCAAGATGCTCGGACCATCCTCGCACCGGAGAATTTTGAGCCAGCGGCTTTCACAGGTCCATGTGTGAACCCATGTATCGCCCGAGGCAGAATTCATGAACGGGGAAGTTCCGGGAGAAATCCAAATTCATAATATATGTAGATTGCTTCTGGAAATTTTTGCGGAGATCATATGATTATTAGATTCTAGCAATGTTTCGAAGTCGCACCCGAACGTGCTCAGCGGAGTGAATGATTGTCACGCCCGGCTACGGTTTTCGAATCTTGAAACCACCCTCCAAGTAGTCGGTCCACCGAAATTCATAAATCCTCGTGACCACGTGAGCAGCTGAGAAGGGCGAGGATTCGGAGTAGGACGCGATGTCGGGACGTACAGTACCTAGCAAATGAAACTGTGCTCGGGCCCGATTACGCTGCTCGGCAAAGCCGCAGAGCACACGTGACCCAAGTTCCCAGGAGGATTCAAATCGAGCGCACACATCTAGCGAAAACTAAATTGCAAAACGCCGACTTCGCATGAAGCGTTGTTTCCACAAAACCACAGCTGAAGAGCCGGCGACTTCAGATTTTTTTTTGCAAAACGCAGAGAGGATTCGAGATGACGTCATTTTCGAAATTTGGCGCCGTGTCCCTCCTTCCTTCCCCCGAGGTTGCCCAGTGCGGACTTTTCCTCAACCACGGCTCCTAGATCTCGTATTCCCAGAAAATTTCGACCCTGTGAGCTCCTCATCGGTCAGTTCTATAATTCGAAAACATCTTCAATCGTACCGCACAAAACGCCACGGTAACAAGACATCGTGAAGACCCAGCTGTTCGATTTGCCCTCTCTCGGGGCGGCATACCCTCCCTCGGACCCTTCCCGCAGTGTATATGTAATGTGGGGTCGCGGCGGCAAAACACAGAACCCACCCTCGACGTCGAGAGCGACGTGCGAACTGTGGTCTTCTGCGAATCTTCCGTCGAGATGACCCATCGCCTCGTCGCTTGTTGGCTGACGTAGTGACCTTCCTCGACAGTGAAATAATCCACGAGGTGTTCGACTGGGCTCTCGGGAGGATTCGCAGCAGTTTTCGCGGCCTGGATCCCTTCGCGCCCGAAAGCATGACTCAGTGAGCTTTAGTGGACAAACGACAAACTCAATGTGAAACCCTTCACGTCTCTGCTTCGCTTTCCGCTAAAGATTACGGTGCTTGAAGCCTGTCTATTCGCCAGGAGCGAAGTCATCAGTGAACTGTAACGCTTGCAACTACCTACGGCGAGCCTTACGTGCTCAACGGACTCACGGATTCCTACGGATACTGAAGCCGCACCTCGAAACCGCCTTCTGCAGTTCCGCAATCGTTCGGACCCGCACCAGAAATTTCCCGGTCGGATACAGATCGGAACTTCAGTTTATAAGTTTCAGCAACCCTCGTAAGACACCTTCAAGCACCGGGAATCGTTTCGACGCGCTTTCGTCGACGAACGCTCCACTACGGAGCTCTTCCCGAAAAAAATCCGAAGCGACACCCCGCGAACCGAAGCAGCATCGGCGCAGTAGACACAATTGACAGAATCGAAACCCAGAAACTCGCATCCGCTGGCGAGTTTCATCGCGAGTCCGAGAGATTCGCCAACGACTTTTTGATCCCCTATCCTGTTTCCGGACTCCTACCACACTCAAGTATCGAAAATCTTCCGTCGGAGTGGGGAACCGCGGAAAGAATATATCAACCGAGATCTCACTGTTTATCGTCGTTGTAAAACGGGCGTTGCGGAAACGCGAACTCGCCCGAATCCCGCGACCTCGAGACGGTCACGGTGAACGAAAAGTTATCTATTTCCTAACCCTTGTGTCGAGGGTAGGATCAGTTACCAGGGAGGTCTGTCTACTGAACGGGCAATCGTCAAAGCCAAGTGTTGAGTATCAGCCGTATACGACACGGGTTTCGGAGCTCTTGTTTTGTGAAGTAAACAAGGAATAAGCAAATAAGTCAAGATGTTCGGCGGTCTCGGCAAGAAAGAGCCGGAGCCGGAGCCCGAGGATGAGGCGACTCAGCTCCGGAACATGAATCCGGACGAAATGACTGGCGAACAACTACAACAACGCATGGCCAATGGAGCTCAAGACGTGAGTGTATATGTACTTATGCATTGGTAGACATATTCTCCCGGCGGCGGCGTCCGCATTTCTCCGTGAGGAGAGAAAGGAGGAACTGAGCGCGTACGTGAATGGAGGATGGATTGTCGCGAGACAGAGAGAAGAATGCCGCTTCGCCCAGAAGTTGATCTCAAGTTGAAGCGTGCAGAAAATGCTGAGCGGCGACGATATTTCCAGAGAGAGGCTTGGATTGAAATAAGCGGAAGCAGAAGACCCCCCCCCGTCGCCGCTGGAAGTTTTCGGACATTTCCCCCGAGCTCATGCAAATTCGCACTATATGGCCCACTGGCAGCGAGCGAGAAAGGACAACGGCACGCGGCGTCTGTTCCAAATAACCCCGTGGCGCCGACGTATATGGCCGCAATCTTCTCATAATCAGAGATGGTCGCAGAGGAAGCGAGCGCTCACGAGCGGTTTTTCCCCCTGAGCGATCGTCTTCTGGAGTAAGTGGCGTTTCGCCAATTCGTCTCACCGTGGAATGCATTCGAATGAAATCCTGGCAGTCCTCCGACGAACTCCCGCTTCCCGGCCGAGGCTCGATATTGGAATGCCCCTCAGATGGACGAGAGCTCGTCGTTGCGGATGCGCGAGTTCATATCGAATGGGTGCTGTGAAGAGAACGGAAATCTCGGGCAGACATGCGGAGTGGGAACCGTTCCTTACAGCCCTGACCTCGTCGTACGTCGATGTCCCGCAGGTGCCAGAAGCAAGTCCTCCGAGCAGATTCGAAACCGAGCGATACGTCCGGAGACGGGGAGAGATTCCCGAGCAGGATCTGATCCTCGCAGTCAAGCGGAGAGCGAGAAATCATTTCATTGCCGATCCTAAAACATAGTGTGGTCTTCAAATCGCTTTTTATTGCGACAAACATGGCATTGTAATAAGAACGAGTGCGAAAGCGTCTTGTCGAATCGGCCTGACTGGCAGTGTCGGGACACTGTTAGTGAGTGCGGAAAAATTCTGCCGACTCTTGAGGGAACGATCCTACGCGTCAGTCCGGGTGGACACCTATCCGGATGGAATCCCCTATGGCCTATCGTTTGAGATACTCACTTCGCAGCCGAGCTCCCCAACGGAGAGCTCGAACCACGAGCTCCGTCGCAGGGCGACGAGACGAGTATGCATACCTGGGCGCCTCGCGCCCTCTGGTTCCGAGACTCCGTTTTTCTGGTCAGACTTCTTGCGTGCGACGCGACGTTCATCGGTGGGGACCGGTTGAAATTGTGCGCTCGATCGAGCCGTGTTACAATTATTCGATGTTCGACTCTCATCCGAGGTGCTATTCAATGGAGGTTGCCTGACTTTCAGGATTCCGAATCAGGCCAGGGAGTCACGTATATCATTCGTTCCGTACGGGACATTTTGCTCGACCACTATCAGAGCAGACTCGCGGCCGGTATCTCGGTAGCGGCGCGGCGTGTGTACGGCCAAGGTCATTTGGAAGATTCCCGTAGAATGACGAAGTAACCTAGTATCGATTAGCGTTGTGCACGGATCCTAGTCGATCCGCTGCTCTGACACGGACGCGGACCGGAGAGATAAAGCTGAAAGACGGAAACGCGACAAAAGCCCAGCAGAGAAAAGAAACATCCTCGCCGAGCAGATTGAAGGAAAGAAATTCGCCACGACAAGTCCGATTTCATGCCGACCGCGACAAGGCGGGGGCGATGTCGTTCGCCGCAGCAGAATTTCAAACGGACGAATGCGCTCCCCTCCTCCTCCTCCTCCCCTCCACCCCGCCTCGCTGCCGTTTTCCGTCACCCTTGGCCCCGATGAAGAAGAGCCCGCGGACGCGGACGAGTCTCGAACACGATGACCACGCGACCGGGATCCAGACTCGATTCAGCCCCTCGAT